AGATTGTTAGATAGAAGGCCTGTAGCAGTCTTACATCTGGTAATAAAATTCAGGAACAGTGGCATACATTCACACAATTGCCCTCAAAAATGTTAAGAAAAGGAAAAGATGGATGTATTTTAATTCCTGCCCTGTTTAGCTTCTACAATAATTCTATGGTAGAAACTTTAGATAGCCCAGATTTTAATGTTCCCAAAACTGAAAGATATAATTGTCTCTTCTTGTTGTATTGTCTTCTTTACTCCATCATGCTCTGTAGAGTCCAGTATAATAGACAGAATAAGCTGGCCATCACAGTCCAAAAGCAAAACTTTTGGTATGGTATTTGACAAAAAAAGAAAACCCACTCTGAAAGTATGGATCATTGAGGGAAATAGTATCAAACAGGTTGTTGCCTTCTAATATTTGGGATTAGTATTCCATTCTATAAAGGAGATTTCTGCAGATTTTACTCTGCTAGTCGTTGCCAACTCCAGGGGGCGATGCTCATCTCCATTTCAAGGCCATTAAGCCAGTGCTGTCTGAAGACATTTCCAGTCATGTGGCCATTCTGACATCATGGAACACTGTTACCTTCCTTCCTATCTATCTATCTATCTATCTATCTATCTATCTATCTATCTATCTATCTATCTATCTATCTATCTATCCCTATTTATCTATTTGCATTTGTATGCTTTTGAACTGCTAGGTTGGCGAGAGCTGGGGCAAGGATGGGAACTCACTCCATCACGTGGAGCTCGAGTCTTGAACCCGAGCTGCAGGGTGCAGCTGATAAGCCCAGCATCTTAACTGCTGAGCCACCACACCGCCCTTTCATTCTATAGGAATTTGGAAAACACATTATGAATTTATTAGCTAAACAGTGTTAAAATCCTCACTGATTACCAAAATATTCTTCTTCCCTAAAGGAAAATAGCAGGCAAAATTTATATGGTGCCCAAATGAAAATATATGCAAAGGAGAATGCCACAAATAGGGTAAACAATGTTCCTGAGGTCCATCCTTACCACCTCTAGATGTTTACCTAATCGCTGAGACTGGAATGCCGAAAATTGAAGCGAGAAGTTTGAATGATGAATTAAGCTACTGTCTTAAATGGTGCGATTGGACAGGCCCTGTAGCTCATAAAAGACAGTTGGAGCCAGAGAATCACAAAAGAACCAGGTGAAATTGAGTATTGTTCCACATAAATTTCTCATAATTTTCCTAAACCTAGAGGATTTTTAGCTCAGCATGAACATATAATTCATCATTTATACATTGTAAATGATGTGATGCCTAGTGCATTCTACATTGCCTCTGCAGGATATTTACATTTTGATGGAATCAGGCTGTGATAACATTTAATGATCAGAATATTGCTAGAAATATTTACAAAAATATTCTTAAGAGGTTTTACTGTTGCTATATTTTTTGAAAATCAACTGCCTTTGGAGGTTTCAAATCTAGCCTTTAAACAAAATGATTAGATAGATATATCTTCCAAACCTTATTTATATTTGTCTTGAAATCAGACACTCTTACTACATAGTAGGAGTCCAACAGGAAAGCCTCATTTTCCTACTCAGATTTCCAGGAAATTCCTATTGAAAACATGGAATCTTTTCATCCTAGTTAGAGAAAGATTTACTAAATCATTCTTGCCTGGTGACCTGTTGTTCAGCCAGATTAGACCAATTGAGAAATTGCTTAATCCAAGAACAGACATGTCTCCAGGATTCTTTAATATAATCTAATAAATCTAATCTAATCTAATCTAATCATATAATATAAGTTGGAAGGGACCTTGGAGGTCATCTAGTCCAACCCCCTGCTCAGGCAGGAAACCCTATACCATTTCAGACAAATGGCTGTCCAGTCTCTTCTTAAAAACGTCCAATGTTGGAGCATTCACAGCATCTGGAGGCAGGTTGTTCCACTGATTATTTGTTCTAACTGTCGGGAAATTTCTCCTTAGTTCTAGGTTGCTTCTCTCTGACTGATACTGATTGATACTCTCTTTGATACTGAGGGAATGTAAATAACTCATAGATGAAATAGGATTTGAAGGATTGGAGTATTTCTCTCATGAAGTTAAATCCTAGAAGTTGAATCCTAATTAGTGATGAGAAAGGTGAGATCACATCATAAACAAATTCCTGGTCCAGTGAGGGCAATGTGAGTCAAACAAAGTATAAAAGCCCAATAACAGATACTAAATAGCTATTGCAAACCAACTTGATAAAGAAGGATCTCGATGAGGAGGAGTTGAGAAGAAATCCAAGAAAAAAAAACTATTAAAAGTTTCAGCAAGTAGATATTGCTTATCCACTTAGGGCCAATGTTAGGGTTTGAGTCCATTCAAAGATTAACTTGTGTCCCTTAGTTCTGGCATTGAGCAATCCTCTGTTCAGTCTAAGGGCTATATAATTTTTAAGCCTCAATATAATCAGCACAGATATATTTTTTCAATGTTATTAATGTTTTTACTTTGCCAATTTCACTCCCAATGTAATTGTCAACAGCATAATAGTCAAATGCTCACCTATTCCTTCCTTATTATGTTCCATTCATGTTGTTTCCTGTATAGAGTTCTCATTTAAGATAAGATATATACTAGGCCTTGATACTAAAAGGGAGCCTTTATATCAATATATCAATATCTGAGTCTTGGTTTCAAAAAGCAGGTGGTACATACTGGGCTTCTCTAGAGAAAAAGAGAGGATAATTGCTGAACTCCTCCAAATATTCAGAATGACCAGAGAGATGCGGGTATGTTACTTCCCTGAATAATATAGCACAAATCTCAAGTAATTAAAACATGGGACAAATTCAATTATGTATCCTTATTTTGTAGCTCTATGTAAATTGCAAGACCTTTTTCATAGTTAATCTGTAATGACCTTCCCTACAGAGATGGAATAGTGCTCCCTGGTTCTTCCAAGACTCACCGGTGTTTGCAATCCTATGACACCATCATCTGCATAAAGCAATATAGGTCTACTAGTCTGCAATGAGTATGAGTATGTGAAACTCTTTCTTGCATGAAGGCATCTATCATTGCATTAATATAGTAACTGAAAAGAAGTGGGGTCAGTTGACTTCATATAATTAATTGTATGTGTTTTTTCTTAGTTTTTTCTAACTTTTAGTTTTAGGTTTTAGCCCTAATGCAATACTGATTAGATGTTGAGACTCTAGAAAGAGTGCAGAGAAGAGCAACAAAAATGATCAGGGGACTGGAGGCTAAAACATATAAGGAACAGTTGCTGGAATTGGGTATGTCTAGTTTAACGAAGAGGACGAGGGGAGACATGATAGCAGTGCTCCAATATCTCAAGGGTTGCCACAAAGAAGAGGGAGTCAAGCTATTCTCCAAAGCAGAGGTCCCCAGCCTTTTGGGTACCAGGGACCAGTTCTGTGGAGAAATGTTTTTCCACAGACCGGAGAATGTGTGGTTTTGTATGCTGCCTGCATGCCACGGATGGGGCTTTGCTTGTTTGTGCAGACTGGTTGCTGGCATGCAGTGGCCCGGTACTGGTCCACGGACCAGGGGTTGGGGACCCCTGCTCCAAAGGACCTGTGGGCAGGACAAGAAGCAATGGATAGAAACTAATCAAGGAGAGAAGCAATTCAGAACTAAGAAGAAATTTCCTGACAATTAAAACAATTAATCAGTGGAACAACTTGCCTCCAGAAGTTGTGAATGCTCCAACACTGGAAGTTTTTAAGAAGAGATTGGACAATCATTTGTCTGAAATGGTATAGGGTTTCCTGCCTGAGCAGGGGGTTGGACTAGAAGATCTCCTAGGTCCCTTCCAACTCTGTTTATTCTATTCTATTCTATTCTATTCTATTCTATTCTATTCTGTTCTGTTCTGTTCTGTTCTGTTCTGTTCTGTTCTGTTCTATTCATATTTAAGTGTAATTCGAGGACATAGGATGGGTTCTTAATAGATAGGTTTTTCTGGAGAGGAAATCTCCTATACATTAGTAAATTCTATAAATTCTTATTTTTTTAAAAAAGGACTTGTACTAAACTACTTAAATGTAAAATAATTAACACTGCATTAACAGCATATTCATAACTACTTAAAAATAAATAGCACTGAGTTAGTCTAAGATAAACAGCCATAGCAGGAATCTGCAATTTTAGTGGACACTGAAAATCTTTAGGATTTTGAAAAAAGTATCCCAGCAGCTTCTATAAGCTAGTTGAAATCAATTTTAAATTATTAGAATCATCCCTCTGATGATCATGCATCTCTTAGGGTGCTCCTACTTGCCAAAGTTACATTCCTTCCGCACACACTCTTCCCTCTCATCTCACTCTGTCTTTCCCAAGAAGCTTCTCTTCCTCTGCCTGTTGCCCCTTCTCTCTTTAGGAAAAAATAATAATTAGGAAGAACACGGAGATTTGCCAAAGACTGGGAAAGTTAACTATGGAGCCAGTTCAGGATGTAAAATTCTGTGGGGGAAGTACTTCTTAGAATATGTTTATTTTTATCTCATTTTTCCTCAGTTGTTTGAAAATTATAGATTTGAAGATTATTCATTAAATAAGAAAATATACCTCTGTTCTGAATTGGTACCATCCCCAACTTGTGACATCTTACCTTTAATTCAAATACTGGAGTATCTATTGTCTCAGCTCCATGACGTTTAAAGCATTGGGTAATGACATTGAAGACTTTCTCTCTGATAGCCATCTGTTTGGGATTATAATCCCGAGTACCCTGAAAGCAAAAATGAAAAGTCTGGGTTAGAAGAAAATGTCAGCAAGTTCCATCCTATTAAAGGTGTGGTACATTAAGGAAGTGTAGAAATGAGGCTTGACACAGTAGAGTACAATTCACAGTATATCTTTACTGTTTGGAGCTTTTAGCTTAGTTAAAATAGAAAATGTATGAGGACAACATGATGCAGATTTTGAAAGTTATATACAGTTATCATATAACTATGATAAGGATGGATGGAATTCTTCTCACTTTCTCTCATAACATAAATAGTTTGTATTAATCATCTTGCAGTAGTTGTAGGGCAAACTAGGTTATGTTCTTCATCTAATACACGCTACAAAGAGAAATGCACAGGAAGTATCAAACAACTGCATAGTATCTGCAAACATCTACTCACTAAACCTTGTGAGACTGATTTCTGAGTCAACCTAAATTGGAGTGCAGTCAGACGGATTTGATCAGAATAAGCTTGTTTAATAGAAAGTTATAAATCTCAAATTTAGATATGACAATGAAAATGAATTGTAGGATGTAAAATAATTTGTAAATAAATTAGAAAATCATTAGTTAAAACCATTAAAATTGAGGGAGATGGGTAGTAAAGAAATATGAAATATAAATAAATATAATTATTTATTTATAAAAGAATTAAAAATATAAAAGCAAAATTGAAACTTAATACTGAATACTGAGATTCGATTGGTTAGTAGCACCACAAAAGAGAAAATAATCTCTAAGTAGAAACTGTCCAATGTCTTCCTTTTCATTATGAAAAATCAAAGGAAAAAAGAGGAAGCACCCCTTAAAACCAACCTCCATTGCACTGAAACCTATAGGACAATTACTGTGACATTTTCATCCAATATACTGTCATTTTAAACAATTGCGTCCAGGGCATCATAGTTTTTACACAAGAAAAGCCTTCACTATTAAAAGGAGGGCCCTCCACTTTAGCGCACATGGTAGATACAAAAAACCAACAATAGTACAGCCTTAGCGATGTCTCAGGGATGGTAAGACGATGCCTAATGCTGATTGTTCTGAATAATAAAGAAGATTCCATTTATGACAAATTAGACAGTGTCATAATCTCATTTTATAGATTTTAGACAGTGTGCAATACAGTCTTATATTACTCACCTGAGCCTGACATTCTCAGCTCATAACTTAAATGGGGAAGGCTAAATGTTTAAAGAAAACGCATCTGGCATGACAGTCAAGCCTGATTTTTTAAGAACTACAAACTTTATAAACAGATGTATACATTCATTCTGTTATGAAACACCAGCAAAATGTAGAACATTTGGTAATGAATTTTTTATACTCCTATAAATTTTACAAAATGTTGAAATCTATTCATTAAAACCCTTTTTGTCAAAACTGTCAAAATCATTTTTTACAATATGATTTAAGTGAAACCGATTAAAAGATTGGAGATTTTAATGCAATTTACACAGATTAAACTTTCATTTTG